GAAAGACTGCACGGAGGATAAGAACATAAGACAGTGCAATGAAAAAGCCGTCACTAGAACCAATGACAGAGGCAACACTGAGGCTGTAACGCTTGGTTGCTCTTGTGTCTTCACAAGCCAGCTTCACCACAGCCATGAACTCACAGTAAGTGTGAGCAATGATGTGAGTTCTGCAGTAGGGCAGCTGCTTGAGTAGGATGGGGTGTGGGGAAAAGAAGGCTACTCCCCGCAATAGCACAGCAGCTCCCATTTTGGCAAGGCGACTGTGGGTGAGAATCGTGGCATGATGCAGTGGGTCACAGATGGCCACATAGCGGTCAATGGCCATGGCCAAGAAGAACCCTGATTCCATGGCAGTAAAGCTGTGGATGAAGAACATTTGAGCCAGGCAAGCATCAAAGGCTATTTCATGAGCTCCAAACCAGAAGAGACAGAGCATGCGTGGCAGTGTAGATGTGGAGAGGACCAGGTCAGTGAGTGACAGCATGCACAGAAAGAGGAACATGGGTTCGTGGAGGCTTCTTTCTGCTCTCACCACAGCCAGGATGGTCAAGTTCCCCACCACAGCCACCAGGTACATGGAGCAGAATGGAATCCCGATCCAGACATGCATGTGTTCTAATCCTGGGATGCCCATCAGCAGGAAAGTTGTTGGAGATGCTAGAGAGCTATTGGCTGGTTCCATGTTGCTGTTACTCTTTCTCCTCTACAGATGGAGTTCTCTTGTTTAGGACCAATATTTTCTGCCAAGATCATTCCAACCAAATATGAACACACATTAATACTGAATCTGAAAGAGAACAAATTATCACATTAGGAAACACTCTAAGCTATAATTTAGAGTTTATGAAAACCTTAGTGACAATAGACAAAAACTATACAATAAAACACAAAGTACTTTTCATAATCTAACTCTTAAATTTCATGAATTTGTTAAAATGAACTCATTTAACCATATGACATAAAAGTTCACTATCATTTTCTGAATTCACCATTTGTTTTGTTCTTTAGAAAATTTAAACATCAGATGTCATCATCAGGTAGTTACTCATTTATTCATGGCCTACTGCATGTTTGCTTTCATGATCATTCACACAGATCCTGTTTTCAGGATATTGCAGCAGTAGTGGTCCTGTTTTCTGGAGCTCAAATGACTTAGTGGTTCTTGTGTGGCCATCATTCTCCAAATTTGACAGTAACATTTATGTTTCTACCAACTTATTTCTTTTTCCAGTGAAAAATTCCCAAGTTTTATATATATATATATATATATGTTATCTTCCTTCTCAATTGTAACTCTCAACTCTTCATATTTGTTCTTGTCTAACAGCATCTAAGCTATGCTTTGTCAACATGTTTATTGACAACTTTATGTATCACTTTTCACTCTGTACCAAGTCCTGCTAAGTGAATGCTTCTTCCATGTGGACAGCTGTCTTAATTACTTTCTCACTGCTGGGAAAAAAAATGTACCCCACAGGCAAAGTTGACAACTTAGCAGTTCACTCTAAGCATCACTCAGGCAGTGCATTTGTTTATGTACTATCCTGAGATTCACTCAGGCAGGTGTCATTTCAACCAGTCCATTCTTATATTGAGTAAATTTGATAAAATAATAAATAAATAAATAAATTTGATTAAATTGTTGTTTTTATATTTCCTGTTACATTATCTTACAAAAATATTCAATTTTTGGTCATCATGTATTTAAATAATTGGACTGGTATTAAAAGAGGAGAGGTTTATTTTGGCTCACAGTTTTTAAAGGTTTCAATCCATAGTCAGCTGTCCCCAAGGCAGAGTGGCATGGCAGAGGGGTATCACAGAGGAGGAACAGTCCATAGTGTGGCACGCAGGAAGTAGTGTGTGGCCAGGCTTCCTGTCCCTTTTTATTCCATTCAAGTTGCAAGCCTACCTTTTGGTGCTACTCACAACCAGAGTATGCCTTCCCATTATCCACACTCAAAGTCGTGCTAAACCAGTCAGTGGACTAATCCAGTAATCACAGGCCCATCATCCAGTCACACACACCCATGATCCAGCTACCTCCTTGATGTTTCTGGGGGACATCTAGATATAAGCCATAATGTTCTGGCCCCTGGCCCCCAAAAGACTTAAGCACATCCCTTTATGTAAAGTGCATTTATTTCTTAGTTCATCTCTAAGAGTTGCCAAACTGCTAACAATTTCAGCATTGCTGAAAAGACCAAGTTCAAAGTCTCCTATGGGATTTAAGGCAAACTCTTAGTGGCAGGCTCCTCTATAAAGAAAAAGAAAGTTAAACACTTCCAACACTTGATGGCACAAAATAAACATTCCCATTTCGAAAGGTATAAATAAGGGGGATAGAAAAGAATGGGGCCAAAGCAAGATAAAAATCCATCAGGGCAAACATTAAATCCATGTCTACCACTTGAGTCAATCTGTGGCAAGATGTGAACCCTAAAGTGCTTGGGTGGCTCTGCCCTGTGGCACTGCCTGGTGTTGTAGCTCTCAGGGCTTTCCTCTTGTGCTGACTGTGTTTATCCTTGTAGCTTTTCTCAGATTATCCATATCGCTGGCTTCTTTAACCTTCTGGGGTCTTCACTGTACTTTTGGCTTCACACAGATTCACACACCGCCCTCTCAAAGGTACACTGTCTGACCTCCAATGTCTTCTGAAATCTGGGTGGAAGCCTTCCTGACCCCATGACTCATGCATTTTGCATCCACCTAAAAGCAGCACCATGTTGAGGTCGCCAAGTCTGCTGCCAGCTGGAGCAGTAGCCAGGCTTCCTTCTCTTTTGGCCGTAGGGGTCAAGCATCTAGATTGCTGAGCATTATGAACCCAATCCTAAGACACATTTCCTAGGCCACCGCAAGTCTGGAACATGGCACTTTGGAGCTCTCTTCTCAAAGCAGTCTTTCACCTTTCCAATTTTTCTCAAAGCAAAGTCTTTCACCTTTGCAATTTCTCCAAAGCAAAGGGTGGAGTCCTCTGGTTCTTATGATGCCATCAGGTTATCTTTTCTCTTGTTCAGTTACTTTGCTTTTTATTGCTAATGTTTTCAGCAACCAAGTTCTCCTCTGTTCCATCTTTGCAGGCCACAGCTTTACTGGAGCTTTCTCTCTAGCAAAATTCAAAGCTCTTTAAAGAATTCTTCTGGGCCCTTTGCTCTTGATTCTCAACATAGATCTGACTAAAAGGCCCCAACAGGAGCCATGTTACTGCTTTGATATTATACTACCTTGAAATTTCTTCCACTCAATGAGTTAGTCTGTTGCTCTTAATCTCAGTCTCCTGCAAAGTATCTGGGCATGAGCAATATGCAGATAAACTTTCTGCCAGGAGATAACACATATGGTCTGGAGTACAACTGCCAATGGAGTCCTTGATCCCAGTGGCAACCCCTTGATTCTGGTCTGTACCACCTGCCTTTCTATCAGCATTCTGGTCTTCTGAGCGCTGACAAAAACTCCCATCAAGTCTAGCTTACAGCATTCTAGGGCTGCTTCTTCAGCTGGCAACTCCAGTCCTTTTCAACCTCTTCCCAGAAGCCACTTCCAAAGACTTCAGAACCACATGGTCAGGTGGTGTCACAGCAGTGATCCTGCTCTTGGTACCAAAACCAGCCTTAGTTACTTTCTCATTGCTAGGACAAAATACTTGACACCAGAAGTTAAAAGAGGAAAGGTTTATCTTAGCCAGTGGTTTGTAGATATTTCAGTCCATAGTTGGCTGCCTCCAAGGCAGAGGGGCATAGCAGAGGAGAAACATTCCATGGAGTGACAGACAGGAAGCAGCAAACAGGGAGCCTTCCTTTCCCTTTTTAGTCCATCCAGGATCCAAGCTTGTGTGTTGGTGCCACTCACAGGCAGGGTGGGCCTTCCTGTGACCCACACCCAGAATGATGCTAAACCAACCAGTGGACTAACCTAGTGTCACACACCCATAATCCAGCCACCTCCCCAAAGCCCCCATGAGCCCCTGAGACCCTAGGGAGACATCAAGATATAAACAGTAACCACAGTCCACCCACTTCTCACATTCACGAAGTCACCAAGTGTTCATAGTTATGTCACCAAAACTGGTTTGAAATTTTTCTACTTGTCACTTACATATTATATTTAGAATCAAGTTATTGCTTCAAATGGTTCAATAAACCATTATCATCAAATAAGTAGCAAAATACTTTTCACGGGAATAAGGCCTGTTATGACCTCATTACTCTCTGTTCTCCTCCTTTGTGGCTGCTTCCCAATGTTCTCCTCTTATTCTGCAACTACTCACAGTGACACTGCTGCACCAGTGCCATGTTTCTGTGTCTACCTGGCTGGTCTCCTCTGCTGCACCCCGCCAGCCCTCAGATGGCCTTCCTGAGACTTCTATGAAAACTCTTACACGATCCTCCAAATACTACTTGCTCCTTGTTCATCGTTACCACGAGGATGCAGCCCTTATAGCAGACGAGTAATCATTGCATCCTTGCCTTCAGGGCACAACTCCTTACTGGTCCAGGGTCCAAATTCAGAAGGGTAAGTGAGGGACTGATTAAAGAGACTTGGTTGAAGTTTCTTGCAAATGACTTCAAAAAATGTCTTCTGTAATTTTGAAGCTACTGAAGAGAAGATTTTATTTTCTCAATCAGGGGAAAAGTAATTATAATTATTCTGAATGATTTAAATATCCCAGGTTTTTCAGGATGACTCTGATCATCTGCAAATAAGAGATAGATGGAGAGTTTTGATGCAGGGAGTATAATATGTGTACTTTAAGAAAGACCTCGGCTTCTTTGTGAGCTCATTTGGAGTAAAGTCATACCTTGCTGCATTGTGGAAATCTTGGGACAATGCCCCCCAACATCAGTATGCCCCGTACAGATGGGACTCAACCCGCTCTGGGGGCAGAAGCGATGGTGCAGACAGCAGCCTGCAAAGAAATGGCAGAAAGTGAAGCCGGAATGCAGAGATGTTAGGGGGAAGTTTGCCCAGCAAGAAGCTGAGCATTAGCTCACCCTTTCTAGGAAACATTCAGGAATTAGTTTTTTTGTTTTTGCTTTTGTTTTTTACAGTAGGCAAGCAAGCAGGCAACTGCTAAACTCTCCCAGAGAGCTGAGAGAAGTCAGGAGGATGTGAAGATCATCTGAGATTACAGGCAAGAAACACAGCAAAAGGCTGGCTGAGATCTTCATCAAGTTAGCAGCAGAGACTGGAGGGGAGACTGGAGGGCCATGGCATTGCTCCTTCGGGGAGTTTCTGCTGCATCCCCCTGCCTGCCTGCTCAGAGATCTGGTCTTAAACCCTTGATGTTCTTAGCACAATCAGTGTCTTTTGCTTGTGTCTACTTGTAGGAGTTTAATCAGTCTTTCTACACTGTGACAACTCCAAAAAGCCCCATGGAGAGAGGTTGTCAGCCAATCATGGCAAAACTGATGCAATGCATAAGTAGAGGAAATAGCACCTAAGGCAGTATAAATGAAAAAAAGCATCCAGCATTTATTCCTATTATGAACAAATAAAATAAGCTGTTAAAAAAGTGTTTTAGGTTTTTTACAAATTAAACATGAAATCCTGCATTCATTGACCAATTTAAATAGTGCTTTTGAGAGCTGCCAAAGCATACTGATTTTGATTGCTTACATGACAAGTATACTTCTTGGTTAAAAATCATTTATTTTTTTGTGAAAAATTTGTCATATTCCTAAC